ACAGGACTACATTCAAGTGTTCATAATAGGACATGGTGCATAAAGTGGGGAATAGACGACTTTACGTAAAGAGTCTAGTTGAACTTCCTATAAAATAATTCGACTATGCAGCTAAAAAGGCATTTTTGGCCAGCATGAACTCAATGCAAAGCGTAATTTGCCTATACCGGATTTTATACCCCTGGAGTCTAGAAGGGATAAATATTAAGACCATGGCTTAGGAACCACATCACTCGGCAAATTCTGAATAATCAAGTCATTACCGTAATAAAGTAAACTAAGTGATAGGAACAATGGCACCCTGAGGCTTCCCACTAGGTAGAAAAAGGCTTTGAGTTGAACTGAATGTAATGCTTTGGTTGTGTAACCAAATGACGTTTAGCGGTGACTTTTATGAGATGTCTGGCCCTTGTACTCGTGGGCTTGCCTTCGAGCCATGCTCAAGTCCAATTGTTCTGTTCTCTTCCACATACATGTATCCAGCCTCAATTGCTACCTTCTTCCACCCTAAGGGAAGTCTCGGGACGATACACTGAATACATGTACTCCGGAGGAAGAAGGAATTAAGTCTTGGGTTGTCCTAAAGGCCAACCTATGTGTATAAGGACCGGATAAATACAAAATATATATAATGCGGCCGCCAAACGTCAGGTGATCACCTAACTAAAGCATTATAAGAACGATAAGTATATAGGATACAGAAAATTGGAGTCCGTTTAAGGCTGAATCCAAGCCGACAATGTTAAAAATGTCGTTAGCTCAGCGCGCATTGCGTAAAAATTTTGGGCAGCTGATAAAATGGCATTGCATTAAAAGGTTGTCATGCAATGTCCTGGGGATGGTTCTGTGCAAATAGTTGGGAACTAAATTTGAATGCTGCTCCATTTGTTTCATCCCATAGTCGAAAAATAATACAGGATTTACTCTCTACAAGCTTAATATGATTTGTGTTATCCTTGGCTTCTATAAACTTCTCGTAAAACGCACCGATCGCAATACATTTTCTTCAATTTCAATATGAGTGCTAGAAAAATTGTTTACCCCTATCCTCCTTCTTTTCTTATAAAAAATGTTCTAGGGCATTGGATAGCGACTCATAAATGGATATGTAAGATGTGAATTTTGTAGATAACTTGGGTTCTGTACTTTTGCGGAACTACAATAGTCTACTACAATTGTTACCGCCCAGATCAAATGCGCTTTGTGGTGGGGTGGTCGTGTTGCTTTTGATGCATTAGGAGAAAAACAATGGAAATTTCTCGGTCAACTGTCATAAGCAAGGTTAGTGTTGCTACAGAATGGCAATAATTGTTGGTCTGAGTGCTTATTGATCAGTTGTCGAATGACTTTTGTTAGTCGAATTCGGCTACCATGTTCCCTGTTTCCAAACTCATACGTTTGCGCACAGTATGTTAAGTTAAAAAGCGCCACCTCATTTTGCAAATGTTATTTGGGGTAAGTCTTTCGTACGATTCGTTAATGTCCCCGTTTTCTGTTTCGTGTTTGGCATTAGTTACCACAGCTTTAAATGCCTAGAAAGGTCGAGGACAGATGCAAGTTTGATGTTATTTTGTTATGACTTTAACGTTATTAATGTGGACCCTGTGATTTTGTTTACTGAGTCTCAACACCGAAATACGCGCCTTCCATTCTAGCGTTCCAACCTCATGAAGGTGGTGAATTAGCTGCTAAGGTCTGAGGTATCTGAGTCGCATTTTATTTCGGTAATGTATTCGAATGAATTGTGTGGGCTACATGTTTGGTTGGGGTTCAATGTCCTGCGTTTCACAGCTATCATACCACAGCTATGAATCCAGCTCCGCTCTATTTCAGCTTCCCCATTTGTCTTTATCAAATTCATCCTTTTCAACCCGCCTACTTTTAGGGTTCTCATATATTGAGCGTTTTATACTTCCCCTCTCTCTAACTGTTAGTCGCTTCTGATAAATGTTGATCGGGTAAGCCCTAAATAACCTGCGTAAACGTCCCTATGTATCTGCTCTCCTTCTTGGTCATGCATGGTTGTCATTGTCTACTTTCGTCTCACGACGTAGTTTCGTGTATCTGCTGTTTTACATTTACAGTCCATTTATATGTGGCAACACTGTAGTTTTACATGATCTTCATTCACAAACCTCGTCTTATGCGCCTATTTGCGCTTTTCGTTGGTTATTTCCTTGTTGAATGTTAAACTTACTCTAGACGATATCATTTTGCGCTCTATTTTCTTCTGTAGAACCCAAAGTTACAGGATGACATCGAAAGAAACCTGAAATTGCGCGATGGAGCATCGCGTATCTTGGCTGTGGCGGCGAACACCATTCAACGTCTTGATGCCGCCAAAACTATCATTGTCAGCAATTCGCGTTTGGTGGTTTCCATGCAACAACTTCAGCGCGAGAAGGCGGATGAAGCAAACGCTGCCTCCGCTACAGTCAGCCATGGCCATCAAGGTCTTAGTTCTCCTGTTATGCCAAGCAAGCATTTCTGCACTGGCAAGGCCACCCTCTGCCTTTCAGGTACTGTGAAACTCTGTTCACTAGCCCAGTATATCACTGCATTTTAGCGTTAACAACACCGGTTCATATTAAACATACAGTGAATTGTGTATTCACTTCAGCTGTTACTCAAATCCATCAAAATTACGGTGGGTGCTTGTAAATTTTACACCATTCTTTGTTTGTCGAGATGGAAATGACTGATTTTTAGACAGTTCTTCCAGAATATGGTAGTAAATAATTTTCTACATCGCTGCACTCATCTAGTGTTTCTCGTGAACTGATGCATAAATTACGCTTCTCCTTGGTATTTTTCTCAAAACATGAAGTCGGAATTTTGCCCGTTTCTGTTTTGATAAATTATATTCTTGACTTCCATCTTCGATCTAGTATATTCATCAGGAGCATACGCATTTGATAACTTTTTGTAGTTGGTTGCAGCTGCCCCTCTAACTTCTGCGTTTTGGTTTCAGGCATACGCATCCCACTCCTGTGGAAGGATACTTCACTGACTCCCAACGCATCCTCGGCACTCAATCGGCTTCTTGATCCCTCCTACCGTTGGGCGTCTGGGGCTTCAAGTAGCCACTTTTCCACTTTTGGCCGACAGCAGCGACCGATCTCGGCTGTTCTTTCCGTGGCAGCCGTAGGCGCATTAGCTGGAGGAGAGACATCTGGAGAAGTATGTTCGGCTTTCTGCATCGTTCGTGTGGGTGATCAAATTCGGGAGACTCGACTTCTCTGTGAAGTATACCCGGGCTCTGCCGACCTCGAGTTTGATGACGTCCTTACTTTGTAAGTGGTTTGCTCGACTTAATTCGAGGAGAAAATAAGTTGGGTTTGTCTCCAGCACCCTCCATATGCTTATATTTATCCATCCTCAATGGTATTCTTGCTCTTTATTGGAAGGCGTTTTTTACGCCCATTCATGCGTAACCTATCTAGGGTTTGCAATTGTGATCTGCCTTTACAGTGGCTTGTCTTGTTGAAGCGAAATTGCACACAATTAGCAGTGCAGACATTTAAGAACAGCATTGTTCACCTGTTTTTGAGTTTTCAGTCTCCTCACGATGGTGCAGGAGATGCGATCGTCTATAGTTTTTCCGTAGTGCATTATTGTTAAGCTTAATGCGCATTTTTACTCATGAAAAACTAAGCTTTTAAGTTTTTAGGCGAGATTATGCTTCCTTGCATGATTTCGGTAATTTTCGTGGTTATTGTACGAAAACATATTAAAACAAACTTTTAACCCTTTATCGTCATGGTCAATGTAAAACTGTAGAGGTTAGTACTCAGTACCTTCAAAACTAATGCCCAGCTTCAGTTTAAGTTCAAACGATGTTTTATTCCTTTGCAGTTACTCTTCTTGTTTAAAGATTCTGTGACTGTAGTGAGGGAAAACGTGCCACATCAACCATAATGTCAAATACAACTTTGGGATTTTTTTTTACTTTTACTACGGTTTAGGCCGATTGGTAATCACGATCAGAGTTGAAGGCGATGGTTCCCCCTTGCCTGACTCGTTATCGAAATATAATTGGATAAGGAGGTTAGCACATCGGAATTCGCAAGTGTCGAACGACATCCTCTTGTAAATTGGTTTGAAGTATGCCTTCATCGGTATCCAAATCATACAATCACGTGATTGGATTTGTTTATAGCAAATGGATTCTGTTTCGCTTAAGCATTCAGCAATAATCATAGAATTTGGCTATTCTAATCGAGTAAGTTCATCGTCATGACCGAGGTTTTACATCAAGTATTAATATGGAACTTAAGACCGAACTCTCCCGATTGTCAATCGTCTCACTTTCGCCTTTATAATCTCGCTTTACATTGAATGCTAGTGGCGACGTACAACCCAACTTCGAATGCGGCATTGAGATTTATGGCTGCCAGTCTTCGAATGGGCAGGGAACCAACAGTTTTTTACGTCGAAAGTCTCAGATAGATTGCACTTCTGCTGCCAATCGCAACTCGGTCTTCCTCGGCACGCTCACCCCTGAATATGCCAAAGTAGGCACTGAATGTCCTTCCTAGAATTTGCAAGAATTTTCATCTCGTTTTATTCACTTATTTATGTACTATTAGAAGTGTAGAGAAAGTGACACAGGTGTAGCTATCCAAGTACGTTTATTTTTTAACTTTTGTGTTGTCAATTTTTTTTATCAACGATAAATCACCCCTCACTGCTTGACTTGGGCGGAGTCATGGTTAACACGATTTGAGATTTACTTATAAATGCTGCTTTCGCCTTAATTCAGAAAAAAAACTTTACAAATGCGCGTCTATGCTTTACTATCCCTTTTAGCTTCCATGAAACACATTGAACATATTGTCTATTACTTGGTTGAGTGAATTTTGCCGACCATACTCAACCATTGACTAGGCTATCCCTTCCCATCCCTTATCGTTCCAGCCAAGCATACGGCCACAGGTCGACAATGCGTCGTAGTGAAACAGATAATGCGATTACGCTTTCTTGCCTCTCATGGCTTCTACTTGCTGACAGATGTCGTCATAACTTATTTTCATTTAATCATTGTCGGATGAGTTATTTTTTTGCATAATTTCTTTATTTGAGCACTCTCATTTCCATACTCACGTAAGTCAAATTCATCTAACAAAAGCTAAATCGGGCTTTTTCGTTTTTTATGGCTAATAACCTAGCCTCGACTTACCTACTTACATTCGGCTGAGGTTTTACTAAGTACTCGTTGCCTTCGTAGCACGATAAAATTTTGGCGTTTATTTGATCGACGCCTTTGGTAACGGTATATCTTTTTTGGCGTCGCTACAGGATTCCAAGACGGGTCAAAGGATCTCAATTTCATCAAACAGGTGAGTAATTTTTGAATTGGATTTTTTGCATTGTGTGAGGACTCTGAGTTGGCATGTGATCTGCTTGATCTCACACTCGAGTTATATGAACACAGGCCATAATATTAATGTTTAATTCTAAAATAGAATAGAGTAGAATAAAAGTTCTGTTTTCATTGCAGCCTAAGTGAGGTTAAAGTCGTTTCGTTACATTGAGATAATATGCACACCCTTTTTAATATATAATGTAGCCCTACGACTGACTGTTGCTTCACTCTTGTGGCGCGCTACTCGGCAAAACTGCCAGATTTGGGCGAGAGGGTTAGCGCCCATCCCTTGGAGCTCCTCTCTAGCCACGGTTCCTCCCTCCACCTCTCTCCTTCAAGCTCCAACTTTCCTTTCTCCAATGCCTCCGCACTCCATACTAGTGAGGATGTGCTACCCCTCTTCGGTCCTATCTGTTTCTCCCTTACGGCCCTACCGGATTCTGTGCAGAGACCCGTTCTCTCTGGGTTGCTGTGGATTAGGGTAGACCTCCATGTGCACCATTTTTTCCGATCATTTTTAGAAAATACTGCATTTTAGATGTTTTTACTAGCTATGAAATTATTGTGAAAAGCTAGCAGATTCCTGTATTTGCAATGAAGGCAAAAGTTTAGCGGTCTTCGCAATAAACTTTCATGTTATTAAATTACATGTTTTCCCTAATACGAAGTTTTTTCAATATATTATCCATGATTCACCACAACGTCAAGTAAGTAATTTCATTTTACAGACACGGGATGATTCTTTCAAATCTGAAATTGCCAAGCTTTACTCCTGCGAATTGTGTAATCAACGCCTTTATGCAAGGCTTATCAAACCGAATGAACGAACAAAAGTAAGCGCTCTAATGAGCAACGTCTAACCTCTGCGTGGGGCGTGGCGGACTTTTGCCCCTGCCTTACTTTTCAATTATTAAACATATTCAGCATTGTAGCTTATCTGCCACTTGTTTTCATTCCACTTTCTCACTTTGTAGTCTTCCCTTAAGAGCAATCGCGAGAGTACTGAAGAACCGATAAGCGAAGTGAGGCTACGCGGCTCATCGTCTAAGGTAGTTAAGAAACCGCTCAAGAAATGGGATATACAACTCAAAGTGGATCCGGTAATCCCAAGTTTTTAGACACTGGAATGAGAGTAGCTGGATAATTTTTTGGAAATTAAGTTTCAGTTTAAAAAAAAACATTGATGTTTTACTATTA